TGGCAAGAGGTTTTTTTTTTTTTCAGTTTATTACAGATTTGCTTGCCAGTTTACTAGTCATAACCATTAAGATTATCTCCTCTAGGGTCTGAGGCTCTGTTCATTGCTGTTTTAGGAACAGAGGTGAGCATCATCTGATTGGCAAGAGGTTTTGTTTTTTTTTCTCAGTTCAGTATTACAGATTTGCTTGCCAGTTTACTAGTCGTAACCATTAAGATTATCTCCTCTAGGGTCTGAGGCTCTGTTCATTGCTGTTCATGAATAGGAACAGAGGGTGAGCATCATGGCTGATTGGCAAGAGGTTTTTTTTTTCTCAGTTCAGTATTACAGATTTGCTTGCCAGTTTACTAGTCATAACCATTAAGATTATCTCCTCTAGGGTCTGAGGCTCTGTTCATTGCTGTTCATGAATAGGAACAGAGGGTGATCATCATGGCTGATTGGCAAGAGGTTTTTTTTTTTTTTTCTCAGTTCAGTATTACAGATTTGCTTGCCAGTTTACTAGTCGTAACCATTAAGATTATCTCCTCTAGGGTCTGAGGCTCTGTTCATTGCTGTTCATGAATAGGAACAGAGGGTGAGCATCATGGCTGATTGGCAAGAGGTTTTTTTTTTTTTTCTCAGTTCAGTATTACAGATTTGCTTGCCAGTTTACTAGTCATAACCATTAAGATTATCTCCTCTAGGGTCTGAGGCTCTGTTCATTGCTGTTCATGAATAGGAACAGAGGGTGATCATCATGGCTGATTGGCAAGAGGTTTTGTTTTTTTTTTCTCAGTTCAGTATTACAGATTTGCTTGCCAGTTTACTAGTCATAACCATTAAGATTATCTCCTCTAGGGTCTGAGGCTCTGTTCATTGCTGTTCATGAATAGGAACAGAGGGTGAGCATCATGGCTGATTGGCAAGAGGTTTTTTTTTTTTCTCAGTTCAGTATTACAGATTTGCTTGCCAGTTTACTAGTCATAACCATTAAGATTATCTCCTCTAGGGTCTGAGGCTCTGTTCATTGCTGTTCATGAATAGGAACAGAGGGTGAGCATCATGGCTGATTGGCAAGAGGTTTTGTTTTTTTTTTCTCAGTTCAGTATTACAGATTTGCTTGCCAGTTTACTAGTCATAACCATTAAGATTATCTCCTCTAGGGTCTGAGGCTCTGTTCATTGCTGTTCATGAATAGGAACAGAGGGTGAGCATCATGGCTGATTGGCAAGAGGTTTTTTTTTTTTTTCTCAGTTCAGTATTACAGATTTGCTTGCCAGTTTACTAGTCATAACCATTAAGATTATCTCCTCTAGGGTCTGAGGCTCTGTTCATTGCTGTTCATGAATAGGAACAGAGGGTGAGCATCATGGCTGATTGGCAAGAGGTTTTGTTTTTTTTTTCTCAGTTCAGTATTACAGATTTGCTTGCCAGTTTACTAGTCATAACCATTAAGATTATCTCCTCTAGGGTCTGAGGATCTGTTCATTGCTGTTCATGAATAGGAACAGAGGGTGAGCATCATGGCTGATTGGCAAGAGGTTTTGTTTTTTTTTCTCAGTTCAGTATTACAGATTTGCTTGCCAGTTTACTAGTCATAACCATTAAGATTATCTCCTCTAGGGTCTGAGGTTCTGTTCATTGCTGTTCATGAATAGGAACAGAGGGTGAGCATCATGGCTGATTGGCAAGAGGTTTTGTTTTTTTTCTCAGTTCAGTATTACAGATTTGCTTGCCAGTTTACTAGTCATAACCATTAAGATTATCTCCTCTAGGGTCTGAGGCTCTGTTCATTGCTGTTCATGAATAGGAACAGAGGGTGAGCATCATGGCTGATTGGCAAGAGGTTTTGTTTTTTTTCTCAGTTCAGTATTACAGATTTGCTTGCCAGTTTACTAGTCATAACCATTAAGATTATCTCCTCTAGGGTCTGAGGCTCTGTTCATTGCTGTTCAGTCAGATTTGAATAGGAACAGAGGGTGAGCATCATGGCTGATTGGCAAGAGGTTTTGTTTTTTTTTCTCAGTTCAGTATTACAGATTTGCTTGCCAGTTTACTAGTCATAACCATTAAGATTATCTCCTCTAGGGTCTGAGGCTCTGTTCATTGCTGTTCATGAATAGGAACAGAGGGTGAGCATCATGGCTGATTGGCAAGAGGTTTTTTTTTTTTTTCTCAGTTCAGTATTACAGATTTGCTTGCCAGTTTACTAGTCATAACCATTAAGATTATCTCCTCTAGGGTCTGAGGCTCTGTTCATTGCTGTTCATGAATAGGAACAGAGGGTGAGCATCATGGCTGATTGGCAAGAGGTTTTGTTTTTTTTTTTCTCAGTTCAGTATTACAGATTTGCTTGCCAGTTTACTAGTCATAACCATTAAGATTATCTCCTCTAGGGTCTGAGGCTCTGTTCATTGCTGTTCATGAATAGGAACAGAGGGTGAGCATCATGGCTGATTGGCAAGAGGTTTTGCTTTTTTTTTTTTCTCAGTTCAGTATTACAGATTTGCTTGCCAGTTTACTAGTCATAACCATTAAGATTATCTCCTCTAGGGTCTGAGGCTCTGTTCATTGCTGTTCATGAATGAATAGGAACAGAGGGTGAGCATCATGGCTGATTGGCAAGAGGTTTTTTTTTTTTTCTCAGTTCAGTATTACAGATTTGCTTGCCAGTTTACTAGTCATAACCATTAAGATTATCTCCTCTAGGGTCTGAGGCTCTGTTCATTGCTGTTCATGAATAGGAACAGAGGGTGAGCATCATGGCTGATTGGCAAGAGGTTTTGTTTTTTTTTTCTCAGTTCAGTATTACAGATTTGCTTGCCAGTTTACTAGTCATAACCATTAAGATTATCTCCTCTAGGGTCTGAGGCTCTGTTCATTGCTGTTCATGAATAGGAACAGAGGGTGAGCATCATGGCTGATTGGCAAGAGGTTTTGTTTTTTTTAAGTTTAAAGAATGAAGCAGCTAAGGTAAATTGAGATTCACATCTAGATACTTTAGAACACCCTTAATCAGAGACTATCTCTACTGATGGGTTTACTCAATCTGAAGGTATTTCTAACTGGGCCTTAACTTGCATGATTAGGTGTGGTTTCTATCAACACCTGTCACCATATTGTGTACATTTGGCTGTGATGCATTTGCCTGGTATACCCTTATCAGATTTGGTGCAATGATAAGGATATTGGGCTTCATATATTTGCATGAGAGCATCACTTTGTTTGTGTTCTGTTCTCTCTCAATAATAACAGTGAATTTCGCTCTTCAACATACTACAAAGTTAAACTGATACAAAATGAAAAGCTAGACAAATATTTATACATTGCAAGAGAACTGAAAAAATTATAGGACAGTTGTGTTTGATGTTGTTGAAGCATTTTGAATGGTATAAAAAGATTAAAAGAGTGTTTTTCTTCTGGAGCTAAATTTTAATTCTCAGCTGCAGGCCTTCAATATCTCAAGTTAACCAGAAACTGTTATGGGATCTTCCCCATAATAATAATAATAATGGACTATTCCATACATAATAAATACTGCGTCTCAGGAGTAGGCAGTGATTTCAGTTAGTCGTTCAAGTCGATCTCGGGCTGATCGGTTGAACCCAAATGAGGCGATGCTGAAGGGTGGAGTCTCTTTCAGGGAGGTAAAGTGACACTGAACCTATTTATATGGGTTCAATGGGCATATTTTTGGCTGAGCCCACAGGCTCAGAGACCCACGTTAAACCAGCCTTGTGCCACATGATGCCCATGTGGGGAGTGACTAAATATAGTCAGTCAGTAGTTCATCAATCGATGTCGGACGATCAGCTGATCGGTTGAACTCTCTGCCTTCAGGCAGGGAGGAACCCGAAAGAGGCTACACCGAAGGGCGGATTCTCTTTCAGGGAGGTAAACCAACCCTGAACCTGTTTATACGGGTTCAAAGGGCATATTTTTGGCTGAGCCCATGGGCTTGGAGGTCCCATGTGTTATATTCCGTATTTAGTTACGTGGGCGATGTGAAAACAATGTGGGCGAAATACTGCGTTTGGTTGCAAACAATGAAATTCAGAATCGAAAGAACAAGAAAGACTGTAGATATATTTTATAGTCTCTTTTAGTGAGGAAAATAAGAACAAGTAAAAAGTTTGTATTTAAGAAGTTGAGGGAAAGGTACGCTTTGACAAGGCGTCGGACGAGAGTTCATTAGCAGCAGCGGTCACATGCTTCGTTTCGTCGCCGGGCCAGTGTGTCAGGAGCGAGCGACGTGACCCTTCTGCCTCCGCCGTTGAATGGCACCTCTTTTGACTTTCCCGTGTTGAACTTATACACGCCTATCGGCTCCAAATGGCAATTTTTTGAATACGCGGGAGACGGTCTGATTGGTTGATTTAATTCTTTTCATTTTTTTTTTAGAGTTTATCCCAAACGGAAGTATCTGCGTCGAGCCTATGTGTAGATGTGTAGTTTTCATTTCGAGTCGGGGACTCGTGATGGTAACTTCCGTTTATCGAAGCAGGGCAAGATCTCATCTTGTAACACATGTTAAACTGACATTGTGCCACATGATGTCCTCGTGGGGGGGGGTGACTAAATACTGTCAGTCAATAGTTCAAATCAGTCAGTAGTTCAAGTCAGTCAGTAGTTCAAGTCGAGTCAAGAGCCGAGTCAGAGTCAGTCCGAAACAGAGTCGCATTCAGACAATTACTGCAAGACATTGTAATAGTGATACTGGTCGAGACTACATTGTTCTCACTACTAAACCTGATTGTTTGTACTAACACTTCTGCTTCTCTGTATATATTCCTGTTTGTAATATATCTGTGTTATTCCACACCTATGTTCGAGTTCTTCTTTATTGGTTCTACCTTGGACTATCCCCGTCGTACAAGGAACCGGACCATAACAGAAACTAACTTTTCATAGCATAACAATATCATCATCGTTTCATCTCCAGCAATTCTTCTCATTCTTTCTCACTCTATATCTTTTGGTCTCTCCCAACTCCTCAGTATCTTTTACTCTTTTTAATCATGTGTGATCTTTCTTTTTCTCTCTCTCTCTTTTGCCAGTCTTTCTTGCTTTCACTCTATTTTTCTCAGGTTTCTTCACTGCCATATCTTGTTTTAGGCTCATTTGTACTTGTATTTTCTCATTTTCTCTTCAAATTTATATCTCTCTTTCTCTTTTGGATGTTATTTAATTACTCTCTATCTATTTTTTCCATTCTCTCTTTGTCTAATTCTCTCTCCTCTCTTTTCATTCGCCCCCATTCTTTCTTCCTTCCTTTTTCTGTCCATTCTTTTTCCTCTCTTACAACTCTCCAATCATTTTCTTCTCTCTTTTTCCTTTTATTTTACCATATATATCCTTATCCTCATTCCCTTTCTTTATACTCTGCATTTCAGTTGCAACATTTTTTGAGTTATTACAGGAGAAAAGTTCCTGCTTGTAAAGGAAGAAGTCTTTTGCCAATTTACTGTCTTTGCAATTTCTTTAACTGGGAGGACAAAAAGCTTTAAACTTAATTTTAGGATTTTTTAAAAATATTTCTGTTTCTAATTCAATATTAAAGTAATGTAATAAAGTGACCAAACAGAGCACAGGGGGTGGGTATTTAAGCATAGAGGTAGGTAGATTTAGCAGCATGTGAATATCAGCACATATGTCTGTATATGTTAAAATGTAATCAAATCTGGTAATATAATTGTGTGTGTGTGTGTGCACGCCAATATATAGAAATATATATATATATATATATATATATATATATATATGGAGTCAGGGTGGAGTAGGTAGTGGATAGCGGCTTGGACTGAGGAACTGGAGAGGCAAGTTTGAATTCCAGTGGAATCCATTACATTCACTTATATGCTAATAACCTTGGGAAAGGTATTAATCCTCTTCTTCTCCTGCCAGAACAGACTGTGTTCTATAGCCTTGGATGGTAACTGGTCTAGGAGAAGGACAACTCTGAATTCAAAACCTATGGAAGGTTGTTTGGGGACCTTGTGGCATGTACTGCACCAAATCTCTGTATTCAGCCCTTCAAAAAGTGTGCTTGTTTCTGCACAAAGCCTTCACCACTATAATCAAATCTCATGTGCTGGTGTCTGGGCTGTCAGTTCCTGGGAACTGAGTTGCTTGACCCTCATACATCGAATATGACAGGAGAGTCCACCATATATATATATATATATATATATATATATATATATATATATATATATATATATATATATATTTATATATATATATGCATGTGTGTGTATATATATATATTTTTATGGGTAGAAATCCCTTTTATACAAGTTTCATTAAAGACAATTGACAAAAATAAAATAAAATGTTTAATCACAGTACCTTTTCAGTCATCTTTAATGAAACTTGTGTGTGTGTGTGTACATGTATGTATGTATATATATATATATATATATATATATATATATATATATATATATATATATATATATATATGTGTGTGTGTATTTATATTTTATGTGTGTATGTATTTATATTATATATATACATGTGTGTGTGTGCGTTTTTATATTATATTATTGGAACAGTGAAAGACAACTTCCAAAAACTAAGCAAAGTATTAAGAAATGGGAAAATTTCATTAGAAACAAAGCATACTGAACTACTCTATAATATCAATCCTCCATATATGGCAGTGATTAATCGGACACTTGAGCTACAGAGATGTGGTTCTATAGAAGGATGCTGAGAATATTGTGGATGTAACATGTGAACAATGAGAAAGTTTAAAGGAAAATGAGCTCAGAAAGATACTTTTGCTTAGAATCAAATTGAAATCAAGTTGAAATTTCTGGAATACTATATGAGGAAAGAGAGCCTGGAGAATTTGACTCACAGATATAGTGACAAAGGGAAACAGTGGTAACATACTTGATTAGCTTATATAAATGGATGACAGACCACGGATGTGAAGGTATAATAAGAGACAAACATTGCTTAGAGCTACAGAGAACAGGAAGTTGTAGAGTGCCATGATCATCTACATCCCAAAGTATGTGGAAGATAAAGAAAGACATTTAGTATGAACAGATTTTGTGAGTATAAATTTGAAAATCTGATTGTTTAATACTTCTTTGCATTCTGCAGGATATTTTATATAAAATATTAACTTCAGAGACATAACAATAGAAATAATTATAATAGCCTACACAGAGACTGATATGATTGGATAATATAATTACTATATTAGGCAATTAAAACAAATTGAAGGTCATTCAAATAGCTGTTAAATGAAAATCACCATATTAATATTTATAGTTAACTGTGGACTTAGATGACCTAATAGATTAAGAAATTTTTTCTCTAAAATTTGTTTGCACAAATTTCACTTCTCCATTTATATGTTATACATTGCAAATCAGATAGAAAGGAATTATCACTGATCAGGTATTAAAACATGTATTACTAACAAACAAATATGGTTTGTAAATATAAGAAATATTTTCTGTTCATTTTTATATATGCAAAATATTCTTTATTGAGAGCTCCTTGATAAAAACCAAAGAAGAATCAGCAATATTATTGGTCCTGATCTGGTGGCTTGGCTTCAGTCACTTTCCATTCACCGTAAAGTTGCGTTTTTCTATAAATACTTCTATGGCAACTGTTTAGATGAGATCTTCACTATGGTACATAGACTTTATAAATTTAAGTGCAGTACAAGATTGGTGATGAGGTCTCACCAATATAGTTGAGTTTGCTAGATGTAATTGTATGTTCTATGCTAACAGTTTCTTTTCCCATACTTCCTTATTGTGAAAATCTGTTTCAGTTCCATGCTTTCCAGCCAATTTTAATCTTCAAAAATTTAAATGCAATGTCAATTGCTTTGTACTGTCCTCCTAATCACTCTTCTATTGCTTTCACTCCTTAATAATGTTTCTATTTTCTAATTCTTCCACACCCAGTAACACCTTGTGTCCTAGTGGCTTTACTGCCTTGCTTGGGGCAAAATCAATTAAAAAAAGTTAAATTTGATTCAATAAAGCCTATGGAAATAAACACCGAGTTAATCTCTCCAGTGAAAACTGATTTAAAGATTTAAACAAATTTATTAAAGGAATTTACTCAAAAATAATTTGAGTTATTTTACATCTTCATGGCTTTTCATTTAGGCTGTATGCCAAAATAATAGATTGTTATATTGTTGTATTGCATTATAAGGAGTTAGTGGGAATGGAGTGACTTGTGCCTGTGGGGAATCAAAATCTAAAGGAACTGCCAGTAATGTGGCCTCACAGGGAAAATTTATATGGCATAAATGCATTAAAGGTTTTTATAGTTAACCAAAGCAACATTTGATATTAATATATAAACAAACAAGTCTTCAATAAATATTCTCTCATCTTTATCATATACACACACACACTATATAAAAAAAAATGATGCTTACTTAAGTAATAGTTAATATATTCATTTACTATTTGCTGATTTCAGTATTCACTAGATTAATAGTTTTTCTAATTCACTATAACCTCCATAAGTCTGAATGTCACCCCCCTTTCAAGATTATCCAACTCAAATGATACATTCCAAATAATATGCATATATTATAGAAAATCTTCTTTTAATTATTAGTACATAGACATTTATATAGATTATTTTTATAAATGAGTTTTACAAATAGAAAATATATATAGATTTTTTAAACTTGAATATATGTACAGTAATTTGTTTTAAGTCATAACTAATTATTAGATAAATAGACTGAAGGACAGTTCAACAAGCAAATGTCCAATAGAATGCCAGGTTATTGTAATTCAATAAACAAAGTTCTGTGAATAAAAAAACAAATAAAATTCCCCCTGAAATTCCCCCTAGGTAGACCTCCCCCTGTTTGAGAACTCCTGCATTAAATAATCTAATAAAGTGCTCTGAATAAGCAATGTCCATCAGAGAAAACCAATCTTTGCTTCATTGATCATTAGTAATAGTGATATTAATTTAGCATTGCCACAGCTATGTGTTGAGTGGTAAGCAAGAAATAACAGTTTAATTCTTGTCAAACAGATGTATTCCAGTTAACAATTACAGTTCGTTGAAAGTTGACAATCTTCTTGATGCACCATGACCCTTCAGGACGTGGGCTGTCATCAACCTCCACAACTTCCTATTCTTTGTAGTGCTAAGCAATGTTTGTCTCCTTACTAACTCTCCCAGTCACCATTCCAGTTTGTTTGATAGATTGCTCACTGTTTTCCACTCTCCCTCTTGCCTTCAAATAGAAACAAAAAGGACATTTGCACTTAACAGACACATAGCGAGGAAAGAGTGCTTAGAAAATTAGATACTCACAGGATATATTGAAGGCAAGAGGGTCAGAGGAAAACAATACATAAGGTACCTAGCGACCTTCAGTAAATGGATGACTGAATAGGGTTTAGGAGATAGCAAAAAGAAAAAAATTATCAAGAGCTACAAAGGAGAGCCATGACCATCAAAGACATTATTATTCCCTTGCTAGTTTTAATTGATCTAAAACTTTGAAACTATCTCAGGCAATTGTTGTTATATCACTTACTCAATAATTCTACAAGTTTCTTTTTATAACTTTTCAGAATGTTAAAAATTATTTAAAAGTACAAAACTTAAACCTATTAGATCTCTTTTCATGTTAAAATGTAACCATTTATTATTGCAACTGCCTTGAAGATGCTACAAATATACAGGATAAGGCAACAAAGTCATACACTATAGGGATAATTTATTAAAAGTATAATTACATATGAAAATTTTATTTACTAGTTATTTAATTGTTATATGAGATGTTCAAAATTTCCTCCTCCTTTTACAAAGCACATTTCAATTCTGTGCACGCATGATTCATTAACATGTTAGAGAGTTTCCGCTGTCATTACTGCATTTATATTTAATTCTTTCTTTAAGTTTCTCAATATTGGGGGGGGGCGCATTTGATAAACAACAGATTTCAAATGGCACCTCAGAAAAAAATAATTCCAGTTTGTGAGGTCTGATGACCTTAGCGACACTAAACAGGACCTCTTTGACCTATCCATTAACCCCTATGGTGCACAACTTTTACCTCACCCTGTATATTTACTTACATGCACAATTCTACATATATTGGAATAAGAAAATCTGTTGATAAAAATACTCGTTCATTAAATCTTTATTTATATGTGTTGTAATTGAGTTATCAAAAACAACAGTAGAAAACTGGAATTGGTTTAACAACAAGTTTATTGCCTTTTGGTACAGGGAAACATAATGTAGAATAAAAACTAGGGAAGAGAATGTTTAGCCATGAATGAATAAGTGTTTTCAGCAAAAGCTACTGCTACTGCTGCTACTCCTGCTACTCCTCTTGATGTAGAAGTATTTTTATGCCTTTTTGTCCAATGGCAGAGTCCAAACTTGTAGGGAAATATTCTCCCTCACAACAATATGGTTTGATGATTGCTTAAGGCATGAAACTGCCAGTCATCATGCCGTGTTGATTTCTATATCCACACCATTTATATTTACAAAGGTTCTATCTCCCAAACCGGACAATCTTTCATGATAAAGCAAATTTTAAACAAAATATGTATCATACATACAACTAACATGTGTGTATATACACCCTTGTGCAAATTAATTGAAACAAAATAAATAATTGCGTTATTATTTACTTTTTTTTGTATTTTTCCAATGAAATATGGCCCAGTGCACATGTTAGTACTTCATATGTCTATTCCACAAAGTCATTGCTTGTAGATTGATCACAGATTCTGAATTGGATTTAAATCAGGAGAATTTCTGGGCCAGTCTATAGTACTTTGATTTGCTCACTGGTAAGGCTTGTCAGTGTGTTTGTGCAATGTTACAATTTTCATACATTTCCTTAGAGTAACATCCATTACAGACAATAGCCATAGGACAACTAATTAATAGTCAAGACAATAGTGTCTGGGTGTGATAAAAATCTGATGCAACCATGGATGTTGTAATATTTTTGAAGGCCAAACAAATTTCATCATACACCCTGAAAAATAGATTCATATTACTGCACACCACTGCAAATGACTTAATCTGATAAAAAAATAGAAATTGATTACACCCTGTCACTCCAGTGGATATCTAAAACTGACCATATGGTGAAAGAAAGGAAACTAAAGTAAAGGACGTATGTGAAAGCAGGAGACACACCAATTTATGCCTGTATTAACAAATAGTCACACACACATATGCCAACATTTGCACTGTTCATGAGTACATAGATTTTTCAAAATAGTCATGAATATATATATATATATATATATATATATATATATATATATATATATATATATATATACATAAATAAGTGTACTGATATATTTTCACATACATCTTTGCATTTGGGGACATTTGTGCACAGAAGCATAAGGAAAGTCATTTGGGTTCAAGCCTTAATTCTTGGAAATAATGCATCACCACCCATTTGCTTGAAATAAAAAAAAAGCTGTTTAATGAATCTCAAGATTTTGATTTACCATCTTAGGTAATGTTTGTTTCATGCCTGCAACTTCAGATAACACTTTGTAATATTAGATCCAGACTGGCATGATATGTTCATAGGCTTACTTACATTTGTGTGCATTCAGATGTGAGTGTATATCTGTATATCTTATATAACAACTGGTCACTCAGGCACATTTGTGTTTGTTTAATACCTGCAGTCCACCTATGCTGAGTGGAACTTAGTTAAAGAGTAAATAGGAGAGAGCACATTATCTAGTGTGATCAATAGTCTGAACAAAACCAGAACGCTCAAACCCTCAGTCACAATGACTTGTGATATTGTGCTAACAACATCATTCATGGCTCACCAAAGAGTTCCGTCTACCCAATTTCACTCACAAGGCTTAGGTCAACCTATGGCATAGTTTTCAGGCACTTTCCAAAAATGCCACATGCTGGGATCACCTCCCTGAGACCAATAACATTAGGAAGTAACCTTCCTGATAAATCAATCATGGTGAGATTCGAACCCAGGTCTCATAGTTAGAAAGCAAACGTTCTAACCATTTGGCCATGTACAACTATTACACCATCTTGTACCTCTATATGTATAGTTATACAAAAAATGGAATCTTGTGATCACTTTCAAACTCTTACCATTGAAAAAAATATGAATCCACTTATAGGTGAATGTTAACCAGTTAGTTTATTGCTGTTATATAACACAGTATTTGATGTAGAATGAACAACTGATAGCAAATAAACGACTGAACAATCCCTGATCTCCCAACAAAAAAAGAAAAAATTTCAGCTCACAATTTGAAAATTAACCCTCATTTTTTCTCCAAATCAACAAGCTAGAAAAGGCATGATAACTAATCCATTAGGAAAAAAAAGTAGAATTTTCTGTTAGATAAATAAGAAAAAATGATTGCCTAGTAAATTATTACTAAATCGGTGGGTTTGATTCAAACTGAATACTCTATACTTGTAGCCTTGTGCCATACTAAGCTAAATACCTAAATAAAGAGAAACTATTGGCCTTCTCCCTTCCTGTCTCTCCAAATATTTTCTCTTAATATCCAGTAAATATAACTTGATGCCATTTTAATTAAAGTGTTTGTCTCAGACAAAATTAAGAAAAAAAAAAAAAACGAAAGAAATAGAAAATATGAAAAAAGAAGGTAAAAATGGAAAATGTAAGAAAGATAGAAGAGAAGTAAAAGAGATTTAATATGAGTAATGGAAGAATAAAGAGAAGGGGAAAGTGGGAAATTGAAGGAAAAAGAAAAGAAAAATTAAAAAGAAAGAGAAAAATACAAAAAAATTAATAAAGTGTGATGTAAATGAGAGAAGAAAAGGAACGAAATAGAAATATTAGATGGATGCAAAAGTTTCCACCATTTAATGTTTTTGAGAACTCTAGAGATGAATGTATGGAAAAATGTTATACAAAAAATTCTGGAACATTTTACACAAAAAAGAGTATAAGGCAGGAGAAAAAGAGTTTGTGAGAGAGAAAGGAATGAAGGGAGAGTGATATAGAGAAAGAGTGAGACCGAAAGGAAGAGAGTGAGAGAGAAAGAAAAGATGAGAAAGTGAGAGAGAGAAAGGATGAGAGAGAAAGAGAAAGGAAGAGAAAGGATGAGAGAGAAAGAGAGATTGAGAGAGAAAAGAAGAGAGACTGAGAGAGAGAAAAAGGAAGAGAGAGTGAGAGAGAGAGAAAGGAAGAGAGAGTGAGAGAGAGAAAGAGAGAGTGAGAGAGAAAGAGAGAGTGAGAGAGAAAGAAAGGAAGATAGAGTGAGAGAGTGAGAGAGAAAGAAAGAGAGACTGAGAGAGAAAGAAAGAAAGGAAGATAGAGTGAGAGAGAGAGAAAGAAAGAGAGAGTGAGAGAGAAAGAAAGAAAGGAAGATAGAGTGAGAGAGATACAGGAACAGAAAGTGAAAAGGAAATGAAGAAACACAGACTAAAAAGAAAGAAAATAGGACAGAAAGTAAAATGTTAAAAATAAAATCCAAAAGTGGAATTAGAAAATAAAGAAGAAGAAATTAAAAAAAAATGAACATAAATAAAAGTAAAAAGAAAAGAAAAGAAATGAAGTGAAGAGAAAAAGATGAAAAAAAAAAGAAGTAAAATGAATACGAAGCAAATGTGATTTGGAGGTGAGAGTTCCTTCAGGAAGTTTGACTCATTGCATCAGTCAGGCATCCACCATTCTCTTCTCTCCACTCTTCTGGTGTGAATACCACTGGGAAAATGGGAACACCTTTAAAAAACATACCGCACATGCTTTACACATTCTGTGGAAACTTGATGTGCAGATGCTGGACTCAAAAAATATATAATAATAAAATGGTTACATATTCAACTACAGGAATACTTATATATTATATAGAAAATATACTTCATTGTATTCTTCCTCATATACATGAGATCATCCTAATATATATGTACACATATACATATGCAAAGAAGTGTGTGTGATAGAGAGTGGTGTCTGTCAGTTTGTGATATAAAAATTTCCATTTGCATGTTATACAGATGTTACTTCATATAGTGGGAAGTGTTAGCTTTTTATATTTTTAATATTAATAGCCTTGGGTAAAAAAAAAGTAAGAGCCCTACACTAAAAATTCACACACATTAATATATATATATATATATATATATATATATATATATATATATATATTAGATAACAAATAGAAAGTATATATGAAGAAAGTATATATTGAGTAATATAAAAAGTTCAGTCAGTTTATTAAGTAAAAATGAAAGAATTATTTTTATTTTTGACATTGACTTTATTGAACAATATATTTACTATCTTGTATATTCTGCCATCTTGTCGACAACTTCATAATTCTGTTCCCCAAGCATTTTTATCTGTTTCAGTAAAGAACTGCTCTTTACAGTTTTCTACAGAGATAATTTTTTCCCCCTTAAGGCAATCTTGCAAGACCAGAAAAAAATGCTAATCTGAAAGTGTAATATCTGCTGAACATGGCAGCTGAATGAAAACTTCCTAGCCAAGCTGTAACAATTCTTGCCTGATCACCAAAGAAATATACAGTCAAATGGTAACCTGACAGAATATTACACTATTTCTTTTCACTATTTCCATTCCAAATGCTTTTTGTCAATTGCTGTCTTCCTTTATTCTTTGTTCCATGTACCTTCAGGATGTCAGTGATCATGATTTTCACAACTTCCTATCCTTTGAAGTTCTTATATATTTATCTTCTTACTACCCAGTTCCAATTTCTGCAATCCATTTATACATGCTCTTTAGGTGAGTGAGTTACTCTTTCCATATTCTCCTCTTGCCTTCAATATGACCTGCAAGTGTCAAATTCTCCAAGCCCTCTTTCTTTATTGTGCCCCCAAAATTTCAACTACCTCTTTCTGATTTTAAGTATATGTGCAAAGTATTTAGTAACAGAAAAATTTTGTTAGAAACAATGAAAATAACATTATTATTACATAATATAAAGTTCTCCTATATGGCAGTGAATACTAGACAATCTCCTCACAGTTGAAGAAGTGACTTGAAGCAACAGGAATATGGTTCAACAGAAGGATGCCGAAAATAACATGGACAACAATGAAGTTTAAGAGAAAATGGAAACAAAAAGGACACTTATATGTAACATTAGGAAGAGACACATAATGAAGAAAGAAAGTTTGGATAATTTAATACTCAGAGGACAGATTGAATGCAAGAGGGACAGAGGAAAACAACAAAAGTGAATGGTGGAACAAGGCTTAGAAGAGATAACTAAAAGACAAAATTTATTAAGAGCTACAAAGGATAAGAAATTGTGGAGAGCCATGATCACCAACACCCTGAAGGAACACTGTGCATAGAAGATCCTTTTTGTTCCCAATTTTCTTATAACTTACTTATTAACCATATCCTTCTGTAGAACTTCATTTTGGCCTAATTAGGTTTAATATCTGTTTGAAACAATTACTTCATTCACTGAAATGAGCTCATAATAAGAAGCTATTTTTTAACTCAACAACAATGTCACCTTCTGTTGATTGGCAGCCCTTTAGTACAATTACAGTTTTATTTGGTTTGTGATTTCTTGCATTGAATGAAAAATAACAAACATTTCTGCCACAATAAATGGCTTCATTATTGTCCAGTTTTCCTCACTGTTGTGAATGTCAAATATCAAAATGACATGCATAACAAAGTACTTGATTTGGATATTCTGAATCTGTTGACCATCTCCTGTGTAATATAACACTGGTTATTCTTAAGTAATGCCTTGACTCAATCACTCCCAACTTCAAAGGACCTACTCAATCATTGTGAATCATTAGGATGAAATTTGCATTCAATTGCTAAAGAGGCTGGAACAAAGTCTGGTTTCTTGTACCACTCCAGAAATAATGACAACTCCTGGTATGCTCTCTCTTTACAAGAGTCAGATTTGACCAAAAATGGAGTACATATTTGGGTGGGAGTTACTCAATCCTCACTGTCCAGCCTTTACAGAGTTCAAAAGCCTTATTAGTTATAAATTATTTTGCTCTACAACCCTTTTCTACAGATGAAACATCTCACTATTCTATCTTTATTTCCATGGAAAATGTTGTCAAGCTACATTTCTTAATTACACCAGTTCAGACCTTTACAGCTAAGACCTGCCATGGTCAAGTCATCCTCACTCCCCTTTATATGCCATTAGCAAAAACGAAATTCCATTTGAACAGTCTCTTCTCAAGAAACACTACTTTATGAAACAGGCACCCGAGTGGATGCTTCATTGATCACTACAATCTTAACTACTTCAAGTCTCAAGTTAATCATTATCTACTTTCAAAAACATCATTCAGTAACCCTCTAAATTGAGTAGCTCTTGGGCCTTGTATTAGGTGAATAACAGTAAAAAAATAAAACTCAAACAACTTTTGATATATTTGATCACTCACAATACCTTCTCCATAAAATTTCTTGCATTTAAATTACATTTAGCCTTTCTTTAAATAAAAAAGCATAATATGCTGCAGATATTACTTATCTTCTTGAGTATTAAAACATGGTGGTCTATACTTCTCATAAAGATTGACATGGTATCAATAATGAATCAACAAACAAAAATATTCAAATTTTGAATTAACTTTTTTTTTAAAAAGGCATGCTAAAATGAAAGCTGTTACAATACAATCAAATTTGATCATTTTTTGACAAAGTTAGTTGCAACTATACACTCCTAATGCCATTGAATAACAGAAAACAGAGGAAATGTTTTTGTTAACCCAATATCACAGCCTTAATAATTACCCTCACCAGTAAATATATACAGAGCATCTAAAAAATACTTTCACAACAAGATTTCAGATTTTAACATTTCCCATACCACTTTCAATCTAAGTTTCCAGCGTTCAAAACTAAATCCAATGCTATCAATTTATAAAACATTTTTTTTAGCAATTTATCAATTCCTGGAGAAAAAAAAGATCATCCATTTTTTAGTATCACTTGCATTTACCAAATCAGTAATAACAATAAGTTCTACTTAACTACAAATCCATTATCTACATTAAGTTCATCTTGGCTGTTATACTCACAAAGTTTTGGTCATTGTATGCATTGGTCTTCTTCAGATATCTGCCTTTGTACAAAACCAGAAGGTGAAACATCTAAGCATAGTGGCTCATACTCCTCCCAGTCTTTTGAACAGGAGTAGAGGTTTATTCCTTGTTTCCTGTTTATGATTGGGCATCCAGTTCCTTGTAAAGTCTTTTTTATTCTCTTTAACTCCCAGTAACTCCTTGTGTCTTAGCGGCATTGCTTGGAATAAATTGATTAAAAAAATAAAAACATTACAAAATGTGGAATATAAACAACTAACTACCTCCATGAATTGTCTTATTCAATTCAATTTGTACTCTATACAAAGACAAACACTTTATTCCATCCACATAGGTAGATTGCTCTCATTCCATTTTTAATGCTTAGTATATATTCCATATCACATAACAGTCAACAGTTTTAGGCACCTTTGATCTTTGTCCATTGTTTATTACATCTACTGATCCAGAATATGTGACTTTTAGCACTACCAGGTCCAGGGATTGAACACACAACTGCCAGGGAAATTGAAAGCAATTGATGAGGGCATACGTCCCTTTATAAATGCTACTTTATTAATTCTTCTTCTGTAGTAATAACTAGGTAGATATGAAAAGGTAGGATATATGTACAGTATTACATCTTACATTGTAAACTGACATCTGATGCTGGTCAGATTACTCCAAGGTGCCATGAAAGAAATTTTTGCATCATTTTGTCTCCAAGCTGTAAAGGTGAATATTTCAAACTTTGTTGATACTAAAACTTCTTTTCTCAGTCAAAAGTAATTTTCTGATCAAATTAAACTCAAAGTAACTAATTGAATTTACTTCTGGCAAGCAGCAGATACTAAGCAAGTAAAAAGTATAAAGCAACCAAGACCATAGACTTCAACATACACCTGAGAAAGGTCAGTGAATATATTAACCAAAAAAAATAATAATAATAAATAATGTCTTCCTTTTATGTTCTGTGTACCTTCAGGACATATCTCTTCACTATTTCCTATTCTTCATGCCTTTGTCTCTTTACTATCCTCTCCAACTTCCTGTTCTCACAACCATTTACATAAGTTTGTTACTCACTGATTCCCTCTGCTCCTCTTGCTTTCAATATGTCATGTGAGTGTCAAATTCTCCAAGCCCTATTTTCTCATGTGCCCCAGAAAGTTCAGCTTCATCTTTCAAATTCTAAGTTTCTTTTTATTTCCATTTTCTTTAGAACTTCCTTATTAGCCACATGCACAATCCATGGTATTTTCATCCTCCTCCTGTAGAGCCACATCTTTGCTGCCTTCACTTTCCTCTTCATCTGTGAGAAAATTGTTCAGCATTGATTGATGTGAACAGAGAAGTTCAGTACTCTTTGTTTCTAATGAA